GGGCTGGGCCGGGATGAGGCGCAGCCAGCCACAGAGCCCCGAGCGGGCGCTGGGGCGGCGGCGGCGACGGCGGCGGCTGTGGCGGCGAACGGGAGGGGTGAGGCGGGGTGGGGTTGGGGGAGGAGGTGGAAAACCCGAGCTGGGCTATTGTATCAATTAAGAAAAGGCAGTCGGTCCCGGGACGCAGTCTCGGCTCTGGAGTTGCTGCTGGGAGAGGAAAAAGGGGGAAAAAAAAAAAAGAAAAGAAAAGGCAAAAGGAATGGAAGAGGGGGGAAAAGCAGGAGGCAGAAGGCAGGATTTCAGGGCTGGTGGTTTTAAAAGCGTCTCTCAATGTGCATTGGAGCCCTAAGCAAGACGATGCGTGTGTTTATATAGAGGCGGGAGGCTGCGCCGTGGGCGCCCAGCCAGCAGCCCCCCCACCCCCACCCGCCGAGCGCGCACAAAGCTGGAGGCGTGGTGAGAGGCCCGGCCCGCGGCCGGAGCGTGTGAGCGCCCGCCGGCCTCCCGCCCCGCCCCGCGCCCGCGGCCCGCCATCCGCCCAGGACCCACTTGTGGCCGCCGAAGGATCAAACTCAGTTCACCTTTCGCCGCCTCTTCCTTCTCACTGGTGCTGCGCTGAGCTGGGCACCTACAGACGGACGAGATGAGACACACGCGCGCGCACGCGCGAGCTCACACACACACACACACACACACACACACACACACACACACACACGGTGTGCACTCGCTTAGTGCCCGCTTGGCTGCTAGGCTACTTCCTTCCCACTTTTCCTCCCTCCCGGGTCTCAGGACCCCTCCTCCTTCAGGCAGTCCGCGCGCCGTAGTTCCCCCGCAACCCAGGTCCCGGCCAGACGACCCCTCGACTGGGGGCGCCAGTGCCTAGAGTCCGGGGCTCCATCCCGCAGGATCCGGCAGGATCTTACCTCCGGGGACTTCTGATTTGACACTTTCAGTATCCTCTATATCAGGTCTCCATCCCTGGTCCCTACATCCCCAAACCAAGATTATCCTTTCCTTTCCTCTCTCGTCCTGTGGGACCTGGAGGTGTCCCTGCCCCTGCGCGCGTCCCGCGCTGCTGTGAGCGGTTCTCTCTGACACCTCCGAGGATCCCCTCTCCGCCCCCTTTACAGTCGGGGTTGGCTGCCCGCAGGGATGAAGGAACCTCAGTGGTGGTCTGGGCGAGTATCCTGCCCTGGGGACCGGCGCGGCAGCCGGCACCCAGAGGCGGGAGGAGTCGGGTACAAACGTTCATTGACGCAAATGAGTAAATAAACACGTCCGGGTGAGCGCGGCTACCTTCTTAGTGCGGCCGCAGAGGCCCAGGCAGGCATGCCAGTGTGAGGTGTGCGTGTGGCCCGGGGCCGCACCTGTGTGTCCGCCCTGCGCCAGCCCGACGTCGGTGGAGCGAGGTTGCGCGTCTGCAGGTTTGTGCTCTCTACGGAGCGGTATGTGTGTCTGCGCATCTATGCATCTGTCTGTCATCTGGCCCCTTCTGAGAGCCTGTGACGGAGCTATGCACACCAACCCAAACATCTGTCTGTCTGGTGCCTGGTTTTCCCTCCTGCGTGCGTCCTGTTTATCCCAGAACCCCTGTCTCTGTCCTCTTGTGTCTCACACTGGCGGAGCAAAACTAGACATTCCACCTCTAAGTTTAGGGTATGCATGTAAACGAAACTAGACTTCCCCTTTAACTCATCCCCTGCACCCAATATGGGTTCTATTTTAGAGTTCACTAGAGGAGAATGTGTATGAGCGTCGAAGATGTGCGCGCGTGTGCTGTTCCTCTCTGGATGAGCGCTTGCGAGGTGACGCGGCCGGCGAAGTTGGGCTGCTGCTGCCAGCTGCTAGCGCGGGCTCCTCTCGGCGCTCACTCTCTGCCCTGGAACTCCACCTGGTGGACAGTTGCAGTACTACAGATCCAGGGGAAGGTGATTCCCGCTCGGCCTTCCCCAGTGGCCTTTCCTGGTGGGAGATCAGGTCCAGAGGACATGCTTGTGGACTCCAAAAGTCTGCCGGTCTCTGCAGCCTTGCTCGGATTCCTTTGGGACTCGGACTCGCCCCAGGTTTCTGTCAGGACCTCCATGGCCTCAGAGATAGAGAGATGGGGAACACCCTCCACAGGACAGCCAAAGCTGGACTGGGTAGCCAGGCAACAGGAACAGTGAGGCCAGAGCTATCTCTTGGCGGGTCAGATGAGGCTGGAGGAGCATTCTGAGGCTGTCTTGGAAAGCTGAACACTTAGCCAGGTTCCCAGCGCCGACACAAAGTGATGGAGTGGGCAGGACACTGGGAAATCCACCGTGAAGACAGCCGTCAGTGAACAGATGGGTAGGAACACAGCCATCCAGGCATGCAAACAGACACCCAGGCAGATCTGGAGCGCACATAAAAGGCACAGCACCGAGGACGCCACCGAGTCGGAAAACGCCTGCTTCTCACCCGCCAACCCAGTGCACAAGGAGGGGTCTGTGTGGGCATCAGGGCCCCGCACGTTCCAGTCGTCCCTCTTTCCTTCCTGAGATGGCTTTTGTGTCCTTTTGTTCTACGCTGTCTTACCTTACTCCCTGTCCATGTGGAGAGTGGGATTTGGCAGAGAGAATGGGAAAGAAATTCTGAGTTGTCCCTACCGCTTAACTGCCAAGTGGGGCCTGGGCGGTGTCCACAAGGACATCTAGTCCCACAGTAATGGTTGCTGGGTTTCCTAATTAGAACCATCTTCCTGCTCAAATCCTGAGGAGTACATAGGAAAAAAGAAAAGGAAGGCTATGGTTCTCTAAAAGACTTCTGGAGGTGAGAGCTAGTGCTGGACCTGTGGAGCAGGCTTGCTAACAGGGCAAACAGAATGGAGGGAGGCCAACAGCTATCTTGGCCAGTCAGATCCCACCCAGTGATATTCTTTCACCATCCTCAGGTGGGCTTCTGATCACTGCCCCCAACTGAGCCCTGATCCAGACCTTTATCTGAACCATAGCCCTGTCCCAACTCAGACCTCTGAGCCAATCCCAGACTGACCCACAGTCTTGGTCACAGATTGACCCTGTTGCTGATGCCAGATGAGCATTACCCAGGCTCATAGCTGGCCAGAGAGTGTGCCTGTCCTTCTTGGAATGTCCCAGAGTATGAGTCTCTGGCAATCAGAATGGACTGCAGATGAGAATATTTCTCTTGTTTTGGGCTGAGTATGGCCTGCCAGTTTTATAGTTGAGCATCTCTCCCAGGCTGTCTGTAATTAATATTACAGGAACTCCTGTGCACTTCCTCCCCATCCTCTGTTCAGGCACAGGGCACACCCAGGACTTCAGCTTCTGTTTGCAGTGCTGTGAAGCCTGCAGCCCTTCCAGCTGAAATTTCCCTTTGAAATTGGTGCAAGCAGACTGGCAGGTCAATCTGGGGGTGTTGGTTCAATCTTAGTTCTGCTCGGGTGAAATGGACAATGCTTGGCAGAGGAGCCTGGGAGGCTGGGAGGGCAGACAGGGAATGGGCAAAGGGTGTTTCTCAGAAAGTGCCTATGAACAAGGACAAGTCCCACTCCTCCCCAAGGCATGAAGCTATGCAGGAGCGTTATCTGTCCTTGACTTTACCATCGGAAGGAATGAAGACCTTGCCCTTCCCAAGACCCTCTCTTATGTGTAGCCCTGAGTAGCCAACAATCTCTTCTCCTGCTATTATTTGACTTTATCTCCACATAGTGCTGTGAGGTAATGCTGTGCTTAGGTATCAGATTTACTTACTACTTTTTGTATTGGTAAGAAGATTGGGGATGGTCCTACCTCCTCATCCCCACTGTTTTGTCCTGTTCTCTCTCTTGCTGGCTAGAGACCACCCCAATGAGCCTTGAGACCTGGCCCCACATGGCAGCTCACCCTTGGTTTAATGTCCTATTTTAGGTGACTGAAGACCGCAACCGAGGGAGTTGTCAGCTTATGTTCAGTTTTGCATAGCTTTGGTCCTGGATTTTTTTTTTTTTTCCAATGGATGCCTATTCATTTTCTTACTTCCTCTCATTCCTCCAGTCTGAGCCAAACAGAAACGGGAGCACAGCACAAAATCAGGGATGACTCCATAGGTGTCCAGAGAGCAAAGAACCAGGCACCAGGGGCAGGAGGCAGGATGGTGTACTCAGGAAGGGACAGAGCCTCCCAACAGGACATCCTCGGCTCGGAGACAAAGCTCGGGATTCTGCCTCAGAGTTCTCACGGCTTTTAGCCACGTCCTCATTTGTACTGAGGAGCCCTTAAAAAATTCATCTTTCTTCTTTTCCCCATCTTCTGAGGGCCTCAGGCTGGTCCCATTCCATTATCAAATCCCTTGGTCGCCTTCCTGACAGGCAGGACCTATTGCCAGCAAAAGTCCTGGGGCGACAGATTCTGCCCCCACGCTTCTCCCAAAGCAGAGTAGAAACTGCTACTCCAGCAGGTCGGGAAGGCTCCTCAGAGGCAGAATGGCAGTGTGTAGCCCCAGATACTCATCCAAGGCCTGTTTTCCTACCTTCTGTCACTTGGGGCCTTCCCTCTGGATCAGGCGCCATGAAGCTGGCAGTACCCTCTGGTACCCAATCCTCAAGGACAGCCTGGAGGACACTTCTCCTTAGCCTGACTATGTCCTGGCTATTGTGAGAGGCGCTGGACCCCTGCTGTCCAGGCTGGATGGGGTAGGAGGAGTGCAGCAACACAACCCAGCTTGGCTTGGAAATCACCACGGTGCCACAGATTCTGCCTTTCAGGAGTTGACAGGGCTCCGCTCTTCCCCAGGCACCCCCACCCTTGCAGTTTCAGTCTGAGGCTATTTAGAGGATTTAGTGGCCCCTTCCGTACCACTATCTGCCAGAAACCCACCCAGCCCACCCATCTCTTTGGAGAGACTACTCAGCTCTTTGCAGTGCTACTAA